AATTTTTTAGAGATGGAGGGAGTATACAATTGATAAGCAGGATTTCATTGATTTGTTTGCAAGTGTTCTTAGTTTATCTTTTGTTGATTTGTTAAAAAAATTCAAAACATGAAGAGCTTTTAGAGAAAGCAGGAGTATACAATTGATTTGTAGAATTTCAATGATTTTGCGAGTGTTTTTAGTTTATTTGTTTTTACTTGTTATGGCGTATCGCTAATATTATTGCTGAATTAGAAACTTGTAATTTTTTTTGTAGGACGGTAGGCGAGTTCATGTTATAGAGAGAGACTTAGCAGAGCCTGATCGTATTGTTGGTGAGCTTTTACAGCCAGGAGGATATCTCAAGTTAATTGATTTGGGACTTGTAGGTAAAAAAACTACTACTATCAAGTTATTATATACGAAGTATATTTTACGGAGTTAGTTGTCTTGTTACTAGTTCAATTCACGCTATCATTGTGACAATTAATTTTGGACAGGAGGATGTATTTGATATAATAATACATTCTTTTTCCGAATTCTAGGCAACAACTTTGGAACAATGTTTAGTAACGATTACCATGGATTAATGTTGATTGTGGGTATTTCCATTTTATTGATGTGATAACAGATTGCGTAGAAAATATTGATGCTCAACGCGTATTTGGGTATGCTCTCTTCAAAGATGGGAAAAATACTAAACTTTCTTACCCTTTGGAGAAATTTCATCAAGATGTTTCCGGGAGAGGGTTTCATAATGGCCGTTTTATTCAGAGGATGAGGGAGAAAGCTGCTTCCTTGCCCAAGTATGTTATGCTGTACTTGTGTACTTGGATAATTTTGTTTTTATTTTTTGTTGATACATTATATCAAACCCGTTTTTGATTGTCTTTGGTTCAAAATTTATGATTTTGATCAATTTTGTCATTGTTATGTTCTACTTGTGTAGTTCTCATCTTATTATCAGATTGGGATTTTAACCTAGAATTCATTTCTGGGAAAAGTTTGAGGTTTTTGAAAAACATTTTAAAGAGTTGTCCTAAACAACTTAATGTTCAGGCTTGAAATGTGATTTTTTTTACCTTCCTGAAGTTTGAATTTTGCTTTTTTCTAGAGATGATAAAACAAGGTTTTTTTATTTTATTTTTGAAAGTAAAATTTAAAAAGTATTACCTGCTAAGATGATGAAGTTTGAATTTTGCTTTTTTCATCACGTATTTCGGTTTGATAGCCATTGTGTACAGAATAGATTTTACTTGGGACTCATTAAACTTTCTTCTCTCCAGTGTGCAATTAGAGCAGGGCGCAGTTACCTCCCTTGTGGAAGAAAATGGGATAATTAAGGGTGTTAGGTACAAGACCAAAGCTGGACAGGAGCTATGTGCATTTGCTCCCCTGACCATTGTGTGTGATGGTTGTTTCTCAAATTTGCGTCGCTCACTCTGCAAACCTAAGGTGATTTTCTGTGAAAAACTATACATATTCTATTTCTCAAATACTGTTGCTTACTTGCAGTGTATTTATGTATATCTTTCAAAAAGCTTTGAACTAATTCATAAAGCTTTGTTTCTGGCAGATAGACCAGCCTTCATGTTTTGTGGGGCTCGTTCTGGAGAACTGTCAACTTCCTTATGAAAATCATGGACATGTTGTTTTAGGAGATCCATCCCCAATCTTGTTCTATCCGATTAGTAGTACTGAAGTCCGGTGTCTTGTTGATGTACCAGGAGAAAAAGTTCCTTCTATTGCTAGTGGTGAACTGGCCAAGTATTTGAAGACTGTAGTTGCTCCTCAAGTATGTAGATCCCTTAAAAGCTTGGTTTGTTGTAACTTATTTTTATTAGTGCTTCTGGGAGAATTTACAGAGGCTGTGATTTTTAACTTGTGCTTTTAAATTTTATTAATCCACTGATCTGCCATTTCAGATACCTCCGCAGTTGTATGATGCCTTTGTCACAGCCATTGATAAAGGAAACATTAAATCAATGCCAAATAAAAGCATGCCAGCAGCTCCTCTTCCTAAGCCCGGGGCATTACTAATGGGAGATGCATTCAATATGCGCCATCCTTTAACAGGTGGAGGAATGACTGTAGCTCTGGCTGATATTGTACTGTTGCGAGATCTTCTGAGGCCTCTGAAGGACTTGAATGATGCAACTAGTCTCTGCCGATACCTGGAATCCTTCTACACTCTGCGTAAAGTAAGTTATTTTATCTCTTTCAGGTGTTTTAGTGGTTACACCAATCTTGACCGTTTATTAGTTATTAAATAAAGTTCATTTGATGAATCATACTATGAAGATTGAAGGTGAGCAAATACTTAGTTCATATAAGATATAAGATTGAATATTCTTGTTTATTTTGGCTTAATTAGATACTTGGAGGTCTTAGTGTTTAAGTGTTTTAGCTATGACATTCATGCACATGAATCCCCATGTCTCTGCAAGGGTTTGCTGATTTGGCTCACCAGGTTGCATATAGAGATTTATATGTTACTTTTAGAACCGACTCAATTATTTTTTTGTGATTTGCAGCCAGTGGCATCTACTATCAACACATTAGCAGGTGCTTTATACAAGGTTTTCCGTGCCTCCCCAGATCAAGCTAGAAAGGAGATGCGCCAAGCGTGCTTTGATTATCTAAGTCTTGGAGGTGTCTTTTCAAATGGACCCATCTCTCTTCTGTCTGGGCTGAATCCTATGCCATTGAGTTTGGTTCTTCATTTCTTTGCTGTTGCCATTTATGGAGTTGGTCGCCTACTACTGCCTTTTCCCTCTCCTAAACGCTTATGGATTGGAGCCAGATTGATTTCTGTATGTCCAACTTCACTTTCATTCTGTTTGTTTCCTGAAAGAGGATTTATGTGTTTCATTGAGTGAATCTGGTTTTAATTATACTTGATGAATGTTCTTGATCTGATTTTCTCATTCACAGGGTGCATCCGGAATCATATTTCCAATTATTAAGGCAGAAGGGGTGAGAAAAATGTTTTTCCCTGCCATAGTTCCTGCATATTACCGGGTTCCTCCTGTTAATTCATGACCTCTGTAACATCTTCGTCTTCTTGTCGTTGTTGACACCCCTTAAAAAAAAATAAGAGGGCGCAACGCACTCAAATTATTGTCACTGTATCATCTTCTTTTCATGATCTGAAATTACAGAAATTTGGATTGGAAATTTTGGTCATTTGTCATCTTGATTGAGATGTTCAAATTGTATATATGCCATGTATCAATTTTAGGTAGAAGGTGTTTTACTGTTCTTTTCTTTTTGGATATTTTCAGATGATGTTTTTTGGAGAATAAATTGAATTTTACTCTAATTTATCGTGGGAGGACATATAAAATTTGATATTTTGATGTCCCTATGAAGTCTAAACATAAATGCAATGATGAGATTAAGTATGCTAGCTGCTTTCCAAGGGTGTATTCATAAACGTTATGAATATTTTTTTAAATTGGGTAGTGCTACTATATGCATATAAACCTTGAATAGACTTTAAAATTGTACAAATTTAGGAATTCATGATAAAAATACACATAAATTAGTGTAATTAATGCTTTTTTTTTCTTTTTTTTTTTCCTAAAAACATGTGTAAATCAATATATTAATGCTAAAAAAGTAAAGATATTTAAAAATAAACATAAATTACAAACATGGATTTGCAAGTGTTTTTGCCATGGATTAATAAATTTATACTATTATAAAAAGTGCATATAATGTTTATATGCAACCTTAACCGTTTAAAATTTTGGTGTATCGAAAGCCCAAAGAGCAATTGAATGAGATTTGATCATCACCATATTTGATACTGTAGGTTTGTACATAACACTCACAAGGATCAACCCCAAGTGAATCAATCCATTATCACGACACAAATTCATCACAAATTAAATAACTCATCAAAAATTAAATCACCAAACAAAAACCCATAAGGGCAAGTATGAGCGAATAAGGAACCAAAAAAAGTAAAAACAATCAACTTATATCATTTTACATGGAAAACTCGATCTTCTTCTCTTATGAGGGCAAAATGAACCTAATATAAGTTCACAACCCACCATGTAAATTGTATATGCTAGATGTCGCATAAAACGTCACTTGGTTGGGACGTCAACAACTAGATAATGATAATGATGGAAGAAAATAAATGTAGAGAGAAGAAAAAATAATGGTGACACCAAAAACCTTAGGAATTAAGAAAAATTGCAGGTGGCAATGAGTCCACCAATCTAATATTGTAAGTCACCAAGTGGTGACCACCAACTTAGAATACAACAATCTAGTTGTCTAATGAAATGGAAAAAATAGCAATGTGCTCACCAATTGTAGTTGTAATACAAGATTCAATTTTAGAAATAAACTAGGTTTAAATCCCGTGCAATGTATGGTTGTTAAATATTTTTGACAATAATATTACAAAATATAAAGTATATAAAGGATATTCAGAAATATTTCATTTGAGTGTATATGGAATATGATTGTCAAACTGGAAATAAAATACATAAGGTATAAATAGTTTACTTAAAGATTTTGCATATATATATAAAAAAAAAAAAAAGAATGAAGCAAAAAAGGCGGGAAAATTTTGACAAGTGTCATGGAAGGATTTGCTTTTATTACAGGTTAATAAATACTTCTTCCATTTTTTTAGAGTGTTACACTTTAACCGATACATAGTTTTGTGTAAAGTAATTGACTTTAATATAAAAAGATATAAGTGGAGTAATTGGGATATTAAAAAATTATAAGAAAAGATAGTGGAGTTAGTACTTTATTAAAAAGTAAGAGATGATGTGAATTGGAAGGGTTCTTTCACAAGTGTCCTAAAATCCTAGGTCCAAATCTAGGATTTAAACTTTAAATTGCTTTCAAGTGGTAGTTCGAGAATTTCTTAGCCTCAAGGAACTTTAGTCCTTGAGGACTCAAGTAAGGGTCTTTTGGTAATTGGACATATAATGGAATACAAGGAGATCAATAGTGGTCCCCCTTTGTTGACTGTTTTGATTTTTTGTAAAAAAAAAAAAAAAGAGCGAACGAAAAGGCAAAAAAAGTGGGTTTCAAAAGTTAAAAAAAAATGAGTGTTGAAGTAAGAAAAAGTTAGGGTTTCCAATTTGTTTATATATGACTAATAAAGTATGAATAATTTAGGCTTCTTCTTTTAAATATTGTGTTATTTTATTCAAAGTGTAGTGTTTCTGGAAATTTGTTAGGGTTATGCTTAGTTGTTAGGGTTCGTTTATTAAAATAAAATTTATTTGAATATTGTATTAGCTTAAATTGTGTATTGTGTGTTTGTTGGTATTTGTAGTGTGTGTTTGTTAGTATCTGTAGTGTGTTTGTTGGTATCTGTAGGAATAGACCCTTATTTATTTGAAGGTGTTGTTTTTTGGTGTTATATTAGTTACTGTTTTTAGTCATTTTCCCGAGCTCTTGAAGTGTTTGATTCGATTCAAAATGTTATGTTTACTTGTGGAAATGTTATGAAGAATGGATAAATGAGTGGGGTTTTTTTTTTATTTTTTTTTAATTTTTTTAATATATATATGTTTAAAGTGAGATGATCTAGCTTTGTATAATTGGATTGCCAATTAATTAGAGAAGGTGTGAAAAAGATGGGGTAGCATGAATAATTATTTGAGTAGTAGGTTTAATGTTTTTTGTCAATGAAACTTAAGTTTCGGTTTGAGTGAACTATTGAGACTGGATTAACATTGTTATTAATTTATTTTTGTCAATTGTCTATGTTTTGTTGTCGTCCTAAACATCTAAATGGCTTGTGTGTGTGTGTGAAACAACCTCAACCATGGTGTTTACGAAGGGCAACTCTTTTATAGGCCCAAGAAGTAGTATGGGGTGAGTAAACGTATCTTGTTAATTTTGTTTTTCTTGTTAAGTTGGTTTGTTTTGTGTTTTTCCTTGGGAGCTGTTAGTTATATAATGAGGGATCACCCATTTGGTTCTAGCAAGGACAACCCTCGCAAAAGGAAACAGAAAGCAGTTACTGAGCGCCCTGCGCCTGAGGAAGTTGTGGTATTTGATTATGAGGAACCGAGGTCCGGTAGTGAGGATGATTTTCTGAAGATGAAGATTATGTGGAAGAACCAACTCAAGGAAAGAGAATTTGAGGATCAGTAATTTGAAGAGGAGGAGAACGCTGTGGTTCGGCGAGGCAGCAACCATAAGGCTAAATCTAGGTATTTTGAAGAAAGGAAAAGGGGCCATGTCGTGCATAAGAGCCTTGTGATTAGAAGAAAAGTTGCTTAAATTAGGGAGCCACCGCCACTTCCCCCGCCGAGTAGGAAGAGAACTCAAGTTGTTGTAGACAACGAGATAAGTGAAGTAAATATTATTTTGTTTTGTTATAAGTAAAGCAGCCTAGTATGGCAAATTAGAACTTGTATTAGTGCTTGCATGTTTTGGTCAATTAAGGCTAGTAATTAAAGTAAGTTGAATAAGTTCATGCACTTTGTTGGTTGTGTAAGTAGATCGCATTATGGGTTAGGAATCAATTTATTTGTCCAAGCTGTTGCACTTTTTTTATCGTCAATTTGTAATACAATTTTCCCATCATATAGTGGCCATGATTTAATAAGTTTATGATATATTGATTAAGTTTGTGATTGAATGAGGTTTCTGATATATTGAGTAAGTGTGTGATACCATTTTCTCATCATGATAAAATCTTTTTTTTTTTTTATTTTTTTTATTTTTTTTTTTTATCTGTGAATAAGTTTATGATATATTCAATATGAGTTTCTTGAAATCAGAATGGAATTTGTGAATGTGTGTTTGGTTGATCATTCTGATGTAGTTTGTATAATTTGATTTATTTTGGTTTGTAATACTTGCGTATAATTGTCGTTTAGTTGCAAGGTGAGGAACCTATTATACTGTCAGTTGGTGAGAAAGTGAAGAAGAAGCATCTTGTTGTTGCAACACAGTTGAGATTTTAATCTAAGAAGGTACAATGAGTAATAGTTGGTTGTGTATTGTTTGCCTAACTTTTTAAAACTTTAGTGTTGAGTCCTCAAGTGGTTTTTTGTTTTTTCAAGTTTGTATTTCATCATTCAAACTTCATGTGTTGTGTTGGTGCTATGACTGATTTTTTGGACGCGCTGCATGAGGAAGGCGGTTAATCATTGAATGATGTGGGTTTGGTGACATTTTGAAGCTGAAGCATATGAAGTTGTGTCGACAGTTTTCTTACTGGCTCATGAGTAGGATTGATGGTGATAGGTGCCTAGAAGTTGGTGATGGTAGGTTGTTACCATTGTGCCCTGCAAGTAGAAGTGCATTTTTGGTCTTCCCGTCGGAAGGAAAAGTTAACCTAAAAGATTAGGTGATGGTGGCTTGGCTTTGAAGGAGAAGATTGATTATGTGATTAGGCAGCTGTATGGTGCAAAAGATAAGCATAGGACGTTGGGTATTTCGGCGCAAAAGGCTGCTCAGAAAATTATTAAAATGCCAGTTGTTACGAGGAAGGAGCAAGTTGACTTTATGATGGGTTTTTTAGTTGTGATCTTAGGGGAGATATTGTGCCCCACAACTGGTGGAGTGCATTTGGCCGCTTTGTTGGCGTCTGCTGTATGTGTAGCTGTGGAAGCTAGTGAGTACGACTGGTGCTTGCTAGCGCACAAGTGGTTGATAAGTTGTGCCAGGGGTTTTGCTACAAAATTTGATGAGAATGGTTTTGTTCCCGGGGCAAGTGGTTGTGCATTGATCTTGATGGTGAGTTTTTTTGTTTGGTTATGATGGTGATTTTGTTATCCTATTGCAATTTGATGAGATTTTGTATTAACTTGTATATTTTGATGTAGATATTTTACCTTGATCGGCTTTGTTCGACTCTGTTGAGCTAGGGTACGTATCCGAGGGTTGAGGTTGGGATCGGAAACTAGATAAAGGAAGCATATGTTTGGAAAATAAAGACTTTGGAAATTTGAAAGTAAGTGCTTGAGTTTTGTTTTGGATTTTTCTAATTGATTATTTTTATCCTTGTTGGGTTGAAGTATAGTTTTATTTGTTTTCTAGTCGCTGGATGTGGCCTATGGGGAGAGGCATCCTTGGGTTCCAAGGGACAGCGTTGAGCCATTTGAGGTGTCTGTTGCTAATGAGGTATGCAAAAACATTATTCAGTTATAATAGCATTAATGTAATTTGTATTTATAAATGGTTTATTATTGTGAGTGGTTGGTGTTTAATCTTGGTTTGTTATAAACATTATGAAGTTCGAATAATGTTCAAATTACTACCATCAAGAAAACTTGTTTAAATAACTTTTAGATTACAATAAGATAGCATTAATTTACCTAGTTGGTTTAAAGTTAGATTCACATAACTTGTTTTTGGTATATTGAATTGTACAAAGTAAATTTAATTCCTTCAAAGTTAGTTTTTCGTTTCTTATAAGGTTACATTAGTTCTTTACATTACTTTAAATTCTTAAAGATATACATTTCGTAGTACTTGTCTCATAAGGTTAAATTAGTGGGTTTCATAAAAGTATTCCTATTCCAAATGCTTGAACTTTAAAGTTTAAATATGACTACATTATTTGGCCTTATGTTGTTAGTTTGTTGTTAAGTGTATGTAGGCTTTGAAGCTGATGACTCCCGAGTGGTTTGAGGAGAAGCTGAGCCCGTGGCTGCATCAGCTGGAGCAACTTTATAGCTTCGGGTCAAAGGTGGTTGTTCGGGCTCCAATCGAGAATATAGCCACTGATCCGGTGCTGTCGTTGTCTTCTTCACAGTCGGAGAAATTTGGTTGCAAAGGAGTTAAAGAGGCGAATTCTCTTGATGAAAGAATTGGGAAAGTCGATGGTAAGATAGTTATGGGTGATAAGCTCATAGGTATTAGAGATTTGATTTAAATTGTTGCCTCTAGAAAAATGATGCAACAAAGGATGATTAAGCAAGGGAGAATCGGACTAGTGAGCTTGGAGCATAGCCATGAGGAGGGTCCAGTCTAGTAGCCCACCGAGGGCCTTGAGAAAGATGCACACCCTGAGAAAGAGGCTGATTCTAGTCAGGCAGAGATTGCCAGTGAGCAAGTTCCACCTCATAGTGAAATATTTTGTGACCCGCATGCCGATATTTGTTTTCAAGACTTGGTGAGTAATTCAAATTAGTAAATCAAGTCGTTTTAGCCGCGAACTGATGTTTTGGTATAGTTTTAGTCAAAACACTGACTATGTTTTTTAGTTATAGTTTTTTGGTTTTAACACTGAATATTTCTGTTTTGTTGTAAGGATGAACTTTAGGTTTTGTTGATTGTAATGCTTTAAATGAACTTATGAATGATTATGAAGTTAAATGCTGATGATGTTTGTTTGAAATGAGAGAGGTTTTTATTGCATATATTTGTTTGATTTTTTAGTTGAAAGTATATATGTTCTGGTCCTGTTGTTGGTCTTTTTTTTTGTTTTTTGTTTTTTTTTGGTCTCCAAAGTATAATACTTGAAGGTATCGTGGGTGTGTTAAGTTTATTGTTAGTTTTTACCGGTTTTGTCCTTTGGGTGATGTGTGCATAGAAGCAGGTAGTGGGTGATGTTGATTTCAGTGAGGTTTTTGGTGTCGATGGTACGGGTGGTAACGGAGGTTTAAAGGATGATGTTAGTATTGGTAATGGGGGTGGTGTGCACGATGAGGATCTATAAAAGAACAGTCAAGGAGGTAAGAGTAAAAGGGATCGTAGTGTTGGATAACGACCTTGGAAACCATTTGCCAGGGGATTGCAATATGCGAAAAAATGGTCAAGTGTTGAGGAAGGAGGATAAGAGAATCATTACTTATGTTTGTTCTTGGACTCCCTAAATGAAAAGTAAATGGGGTTTATTGGAGAATCATTCCATTATCTGGTTCGTCTTGTAGAATGTCATGTAATCTTATATTGAAATTTGATGTGTATGTGCAGTGGTCCAACTTTGATTGAATGTGAAGGGATGGATGCTTTTATGCAATTTTGTTATAACGTGTGTTGCTGCTAGCGTGTCGAGACACAGTACGTTAGGACTGATGCTAAGATGTACACCTAGGAGTGCTCCGTCCAATTCAAGGGACGTAGTAAGAGGCTTATGTTGGATTCGTCTGTTAAAGTAAGCATTCTGTTAAATGTAGCTTGATTCACTGATGGTTTGTGACTTTAGTTGCTTGATCTTTTAAATGTTCTTTCATGGATGTATTTTTTGGTAGATATGCTTTCTTGATAAGTCTCAATCCGTGGAACAACTTGCTGTGAAATATGGGCATCCTTTGCGTGATGTGCCGTCAAGGAATATTGCTATTGCGAGTTTTATTTACGTATGTGATATTTTAGTTGCTTTCGAAGATGTAGCTAAGCTAACATTCCGATTCCATTTGCCAGGTATTTATCCCAGTTTTACAGAAGGAGCATTGGTGGTGTGCTGCTTTCCATTTAAAGGATAAGAAGATATGGCTCATAGATTCTATGTACCAGGAACCAGCTCAGACTCACGATGATGTCGTAGATGAATTGGTATGATTCTTTACTTTGCCCTTTAGGGTTGGTTGTTCATTTTATTTATAAATATAATAAAGGCTAACAAGAGATAGTCATTAAAGTAGAGGGCCGAAATAGACAAGTTTTTTAAGCTCCATGACGACACCTCGGAAGAGGGTGGTATCATGACTTGGCCATCAAAAGTTGTGGAAATCCTACCTCCGATTGACAAGTAATGATTGTTTAGCATGTAATGTTACATTTTTCATGTAGATGGAGCCCCTAATTGTAGGGTTTTAGGTACTATAAACAGATCTACAAGCATAACACATAAAGAATCACATAATTCATACCTTTGATGCGTGATTTCCACTCTAATCTTATATATAATTAGAGTCCATGTGAAGCCCAAACTCCTAATCCAACCCAAACTCCTCTAGCCTTAATTCTTATGTGGCTTATCATTACCTCATGAGGCTCATTAATGGGCTTCATACTTTGTTCAATCTAAAACCCTTGTGTGTGACCTTATAGGATCCATTCTATTGGGCTTTGGACTATTTGACTAGGCCAAAGATCATTTATCATATCTAACAACAGACAATGACGACCCAAAAGAATGAACTAATTATCTCCATAATAATGATCCTTGATATATCTAATAATTGCACTTGACGGAGACATAAATCCTTCAATCTCCCACTTGTCTGAGACAAGTTTGCAATATTCAAATTTCTTGAGTCAATGTGTGTCTATTTGATATTATGATTACATCTCATGTCGAGATCATATTAATCTACAAATCATTTCTTGAAAACTGAGTTAGAATTGCAAAAACAAATGATTACTATGTAACCCATTTGAGCACGACCATGCATTTTCTGAAGTCTCCCTCTTCAAGGGGCCATGACACATTCCTAATTAAATAGGTAGACTTAATCCAAACTTGTGGCAACCAAAGCTCCTACTCAACTTTTGAAGTAACCAGGTTTATAGTCCCCTTTTACGGAATGACGTTTGGATGTACCACAGTTAAATCAATCATTGAATAAAATCAGTGTTCCACTCATGTCAAAGGAATCTACTAATATATCCGAAAGCTCTTTATTTGAACTTCAAAGTAGGTCAATAGTTCGATCATGCATCATTCATGCATATCCATGTGATTGACAGAGCATCTCTATGCCCTTATAGCCCATGAAATTGAGCTATCATATCAATCTTACATGCCAGTCCATTTATTAAAATCATTTATGTCCAATTTAATGATTTCGAACTAGAAACTTAAATAATTTATGAATTTAGCTCACCTGTGGGGTTTCATTCACCAAATCACATATTTGATGATCCCATCAATTCATAATTATTTTGGACATTTTATTTAATACTAAACCATGATTAAATAAGATTGAAACTTTGATTCAATTGATAAACATAGGGAAACATGATTGATGATTTTGCAATTGTGACTTCCTGGCACACAATCAAAACCATCCACCATCATGTTCATTTCAAATGAGCCTTTTATGTCTTTAGGCTATTGAAATAGTTTTGTTAGTGCAATTCATGAGATTTTCTCATAAACATGAATCTTGCTACTTCTATATTTTATAATAATATTCATCTCCATACACTAAGAATCTTCCTTCATCCTTTCGCAAGGAATTTAGGAATTTCTAAATTGTATTCCAATGTTACATTGGTTTTTCAATTGAAATCTATCACCACATGTTCTCAAAACATGTGAATTAAATAGACGAGTATAGTCCATGACATGCATGATGTATCCTTTGCAAAATGCATAAGGAGCATCACTCAAACCCTTATTTTTATCAACCTTTCTTAAAGCATTGAATCTTGTTTAAGCAATGTGCCATGTTATATGGGATTGAAACTCCTTTTAATATGATGTTGAACCTCATAAGAGTCTTATCAATATAAGTTTCTCAATAAAGGTTAAACATCCTTCATGACCTATCTCTATAGATCTTGAATCCCAAATGCACTCATTATCCTCTTCAAGGTTTTCATACAAAATGCATTAGCCATCACTTGACCCTTCAAGCATGGAATAATATCTCTTTGTATTAGACCAAGAAAATTGTATAACTCCCACTAAACATCTTGTATACACAAGCCCTTTTTCTTTATTTTATGGGAATATCAAACAATTTGATTAAGTCATAGAATTAAGAACATTAACTCCATGATGCTAACTTCAATCCATTAAAGGATCTTTTATGCATCCCTAGGATTATTGGATTTTCAAAATCATTCTAATTGTATCATATACAAATATTCTTTCATGAACAATTTCAAGAAAGCATTTTGAAATCCATCTACCAATTCTCACAAGGTAGAAATCACTAAAATATCTTTAATAGATCTTGGCAACATGACTAATGTAAAGGTTTCATCGTAGTCATAGTCATACTATGAATTAGTTGATTCCTTTAATAACTAGTCTTTGCTTAATTAGAAAACACTTTTCTTCGTTGTCTATTTTTGCTTACAATGGGTCTTATGCAATTTGGCAAATTAATCAAGTGTCACACACTTGCTTTTAGACTTGGAATCTATTTTAGATTTCCATGGTTTTAAACCACTTGGAGTTATAACTTGTCAAACCATCTTTATTACTTGCATAATATTATGTTCCAAAATAAATATTTTAGAACTCTTAGTCAATATGAAATCATAATTATTTGGCTAAGTTTTAGATATGCTAGTCATCATTGTGGGTCTTTATGCAACAATTGAAACTTATACAACAACTTTGTTTAATTTTCAATGAGAAACAACAAAAGAGGGTGTGCACTTGGAATGTGCTACCTTCGACACATGGTTTATTATTCTCATTATACTTTAATGAGACCACGTGTTGTCATTTGTGACATGAGGTGAATCATGCTCATATTGTTGCTTTTATTCGATTATTTCTCGAATTTCTTCAAGATTTTTGAATTAACTTTTCTCGAACTCTTTTGAGGCTCTCGAACTCTATCAAGATTCATATACTCTCACTTGCCTTTTTGAAGAGGCACATTAGCATGGGTTGAACCAACAATGGTTTGAACCATGTTTGTTTGTTGCTTTTCTTGAAACTCTTTCGAGATTTACACTACTCCCACTTTACCTTTTGGAAATGAAATCTTTTCTAGAAGGGCATCTACTTAAGCAACAAAAATTTTGTGCTAAGTATGACTTATGTAGTAGTACCCGGTGCTCTGTATAGGAATTGAACGTGTATTAAACGATTTAATATAACCTTTTTATAAGTATCATTTATAACACATTTTAGGGCGCTTTTCTCCCTTAGTTTTAGGTTTATTTTGGTGTTTCTTTGTTATTTATATTACTTTTAGTCTTGTTTTAGTTATCTTTGTCTTAGTTTATGGTTTTAGGCCTTAGTTGTGAATAATATGCTTTTTGCTCGGTTTCTAGCTTGATTTTCGTGTTTTTCTATGTGTTCTTTCACTCTTTTCTCTCTTGGTCTATTTGTGTAAGTGCTTGACTCTTTTTTTGATACTTATGACCCAAGAAAAGGCAAGAAGGTTCAATAGAAGAAGCTTAAGGCAAGAAAGCTTGAAGCTCGTAGAAGGCCTTAAACCGAGTCTTGATCACTATTTCAGCCATAAATTTTGATCTACAAATTAGATTCAGGAAATTCAAATTTCTTTGGAAACTACACTTGAAGAGCTTTCCAACGGTAGGTCGCACACCCTAAGAGGCCTCCTAGAATAGAAGTTATGGCCGTTTGAATCTGCAAGACACTGTCAGGCTGCAGCTGCCGCGGGCGCGGCTATTTGTGACGCGGGCGCGCCCTTCTGTTCTTCCCAGCTATTGCAACTTTCTGGAGATGCCTCGGAGAAGCCTTGCCGCGGGCGCGGCTCCGGCCATCGCGGGCGCGGCCATGACCGTCGCGGGCGCGGGTTTTTGGGTCTTTTTCGAGCTTAATTTTCGGATTTTGATGTGAATCGAGTCCCCTTCCTTATAACTATTATTTTGCTTTATTTAGGTACTCTCTTGGTTTTACCTTACTCTTAAAGTAGGGGTTTTACAAGTGAGTTTTTAATAATGTTTTTATTATTTTCTTAGTAGTAGTTATGGGGCCTTGGGCTTCCAAAGTTGTGTTAATTAATTAGTGGGCTCTCTTGGTTCATTAATTAATTATTAGGGCTTTTTATTTAGTTTGCTTGCAGGGCAAGTAGGATAGATTTATTTTTCCTATATATACTAGTTGTATGTCAATTATTTTAGGAGGATGTTTTATGAATTATAATTTGAGATTATTGAGCTTTTGCTTGAAGAGAACTTTGTTAAGGTTCAAACTAGTTGTTAACTAGGGTTTTGGGATCGTTACTCCTAAAATCAAACTTAGAAGTCGTTGCCTTCTAAGACTATCTTTCAAATTTCCACCATTAAAATCACTCAAATCCTTCCATCAAATATAAACCGTCAAAATACACATCAAATTGGTATCAAGAGCTTAGGTTTGTGAGCCCTCACGACTTACACGATCTTGGTAATTAGAACAATTTTTGGTTGCTTTTCAAGTATTACGGGTGATTTGCAATTAGATTACGGTAGTGTACTTTGTCTTCGAATCTGGAAGTAAGCATTACGTAGTACTAGAGGTACGTAATTCTAGAGTTTTAGTTGGTGAATTTGTCTCTTAGTGCATATTAATTTCTTGATTTACTTGCTGCAAATCATCAAGTTGGTGGAGATAGTGCAACTAATACTTTTGTGCATTCATATTTCGGTACACAGATACACACAAATAAATTTTAGGTATTGATGAATTATTTAAAAAAAAAAAAAGAATCCCCTGCTAATACAAAATTAGAGTGTTGCGCGAGAGTTGTTATTCCTTGTCCAAATTATTATAAAGGTTTTGTTAGACTAATTTGAGGTTTTTGTCTTAAAATACGGAGGAATAATTTGCTGAAAATTATTTCGACATCATGAGTACTTTAACAAAGGAAGATCTTGATATTATGCTTGTTGATATGATGAGAAATTTTAATGCGAGTCTTGAACGAATGAATGAGAAAATTGAGAAGAGTACACAAGAAATTGCTCAAACCAATCAAAGGGTTGAAACTTTGTCTACTCAAGTGATTGGGGAAGGAAGAATAATCAACAACGAACAACCTAGGGGAATCATGAGAAATTTTCCAATTGACAATGATCGAGATTTGAAGTTGTTGGAACTTCCGGAATTTACAGGTGATGGGGATGCCGAAGACTTTTTAGATTGGGTTCGTCAGATGGAAAAGGTCTTTGATTATAAAGGTTTTGATGAGCAAAAAGCCTACAAGGTTGCAAACCTAAAACTGACGAGATATGCTTCTCTATGGTTTG